TCCTTTCCCATGCTTGATATAATGGTCCCCTAAAAATATGGTCTAAGAAACTCTTGTGGACTTTCACTTTCCCATACCAAATGCCATCCGTACCGATTATTAAAGCCTTCCAGGTCCAGTAGCTCTCTATTCTCCAGTTTTATCCAATTCTCCAGTTTTATCCAATCTTTTAACCAAAGTATACAAGCCGCTTCATAGTATAAGCTTAGGTCCGGGAGAGAAAAACCCCCTCTTTCTTTTTATCTATCAAAATTTTCATTTTTATCCGTGGCCTTTTCCCCTGCCAAATATACTTTGCCAAGGCTCTCTGCCACTCTTTACATTGTTTTAGGCCTTTAAGTATGGGGATGGTTTGGAATAAAAATAACATTCTGGGCAGAATGTTCATTTTAACAACAGCTATCCTCCCCAAAAAGGAGAGTTTCATCCTCCCCCAAATTTCCATGTCTTTCTTTATAATCCTCCAGGTGGCATCGTAATTATCCTTGTATAAATTTATGTTCTTAGCTGTAACCCAGATCCCAAGATATTTCACTTTCTTAGCTACCGCAATTTCGGTCCTTCTTTCTAGATCTATCATTTCTTCCTTTGTTAAATTTTTAACTAACATTTTGGTTTTATTTTTATTTACCTTAAGTCCTGCCACGGCTCCAAATTCGTCAATTTTTTGTAAAGCTTCTTTTACGCTATTTTTTGGGTCTTCTAAGGTTAGTACGATGTCATCTGCAAAGGCCTTGATTTTGTATTCCCTCTTTCCTACCTTGACTCCTGTGACTTCTGTTGCCCCCCTCAGTCTCTCGTTTAGTATTTCTAATACTGTTATAAACAATAGAGGGGACAGGGGGCAGCCCTGTCTGGTTCCTTTATATATACTAAAATATTCTGTTGTGGTGTTGTTTATTACCCATTTTGCCTTCTGTTCCTTGTATATAGCTTCTATGCCTTTTCTAAATTTCTCTCCCATTCCCATCATTTCCAAACTTTTCTTCAAGAAATCCCACGAGATGTTATCGAACGCTTTTTCAGCATCTATGAATACCAAGGCCGCTTGTCTATCTATGCTCATATCCAAATATTCAATAATGTCTATCAAGTTCCTTACATTGTCCCTTAGTTGTCTCCCTGGGAGGAAGCCCGTTTGATCTTTATGTATTCTGTTGTTCAGAACCTTTTTTAGTCTTTCTGCCATTATATCTGCAAATAGCTTGTAGTCATTATTTAATAGTGAAATTGGCCTATAGTTTTTTACTTCCAAGGTATCTGCCTCTTTTTTGGGAATTAAAGTAATATATGCTTCCTTCCAGGTATTCGGGATCCTTCCTTCCTTTAATATATTGTTCATCACTTCTCCTAACACTGGGGATATTTGGTTACTTAGTGTTTTATAATATTTGGCCGAGAGGCCATCTGGACCTGGCACTTTCCCATTTTTCATCTTTTTAATAGCCTTCTTTATCTCTTCTTGAGTAATTTTCTGGTCTAGTATCTCTTTTTCTTCTTTTGGGATTTGTTTTAAATGATGTTCTTGCAAAAAGTGCTCTATTTCTTGTTTTGTTTCCTTTCCTCTTTTATATAAGTCCTTATAATATTTTTGAAATATCTTCCTTATTTCTTTTGGCTCTTCCACAATCCTTTCTCCTTCCCTTATCTTACTGATCGTGTTTTGTTTTCTTCTTTCTCTTATTTGCCACGCCAAATATTTGCCTATCTTGTTTGCAGATTCAAATGTCCTCTGATTCATCATTTTAATTTTCCATTCTACCTCTTGGTCAATTATTGTAGAAAGTTTAGCTTGTAATATCTTTATATTCTGCTTTGCAATCTCCTCACTGGGGTTAATGGTTAATTTTTTTTCATTTTCCATAATCTGTGTTAGGATCTGTTCCTTCTTTGACTCTTTTTCTTTTCTTACTTGACTATTTTTCTGTATTAAAAAGCCCCTCATAACTGCCTTTCCTGCGTCCCACACCGTCTCTATAGCAGTTTCCCCGTTTAAATTCCATTTAAAGTAATCTTCTATTGTCTCTATTGCCTTATTTACGATCTTCTGATCATTAAATAGAAATTCATTCATTCTCCATCTAGTTGTTTTAATATCCTTGCCTTTCAGCTCAATGTAAACCGCATTATGGTCAGATATAATTCTTGGGAGAATTTCTGATTTAATTAAATTCTGAGTTAATTCCTTCGAGATCCAAATGCTATCTATTCGCCCCCAACTCTGATTTGGGTTTGAGAAGAAAGTATATTGTTTTATAGTGGGGTTTTTGAGTCTCCATGCATCAGTTAATCCCAGATTATTTACCATGTCAAAAAAGGATCGCGGTAATTTACCTTCCTTCTTCTCTTGTTTTTTGTTAACTTATCACCACCCCATTAAAGTCACCCATTAAAATCATTTTTTGATCCATCCATTCCATCAATTTATCTCCTAATTCAGAATAGAAGGCAGATTTTTTATCGTTTGGAGCATATATTCCAACAACAATTATTTTTTCTCCCTGAGACACCATCTGAACAATGATTACTCTCCCTTGATCATCTTTATATAATAATTGTGGCTCATATTTTTCCTTAATATATAATACCACCCCTCTTTTCTTCACTCTATCTGATGTCACAAAATCTAATCCCAGTCTCTTATTACATAATAGTCTCTTATGCTTATTTATTATATGCGTCTCTTGGAGACATATTAAATCATAATTCTTTTTCAATAATACATGCGTAATCTGATTCCTTTTGTTTTTATTGTTCAACCCATTCACATTCCAGTTTAGTATTTTTAACGTCATCTGTTCTGTAATATAAGTTAACTTATCAAACCTCTGCGCAATCTACTGTTCTTTGTCTCCTTTCTCTAGTTCTTCTCCTTCTCCTTTTGAGCTCTCCTCTCTTTCTTCTTCTTCACTCCCCCCATTTTCTTCCCCCTGCTGGTTCCCCACCTCCTCCTCCCCCATCATTTTCCCCAGGTCCTTCTCATATCTCCTTGCAAATTTTTGTAGTTCTGAGATGGTAGACAGTTTGAACTTTTTTTCTTTGAAATAGAATGAAATACCTTCCAGAAACTCCCATCTGTACAGGATCCCATTTTTCTTCAATTGATTTGTTAATTTTTTATATGGGTCCCTCCTTCGAAGAAATCTCGAAGGAATCTCTTTATAAATAATAATTGGGTTTCCTCCAATATATAACCTTTTAACATAATTCTGTTTCAAAATTTCATTTCTTATCTCCAATGAATTAAACATGGCTATTACATCTCCTGGCAATTTTTTCCCTCTGGCTTTTGCCGATTTTATTCTTATTCGGAATATGTTTACCAGACCATGGTTTATCTCTTCTTCTTTTCTATCTAACCATATTGCCAGCTCTTTCACCACTTTAGCTCGGATATTCTCATTTAGATCCTCTGATATTCCTCTAAATTTTAGGTTAGATTGATTCTGGCGCATCTGTGTCATAGCCATGTTGTCCAACAACTCTTCCTGTGTTGCTCCTATCTCTTTAACTTCTAGTCTAATTCTGTCCATCTCTTTCTTACTGTCTTTCGCGTCCTTTTGCACCCTCTTCACTGAATCCTCCAAGCCCTTAGTTCTTACCGAGAGATCCTTAACCTTTCCTGTCAATTCTCCCACCACTTCCTCCAGTTTCTTATCTAGGGTATCTTGAACCTCTATCAATTTTCTCTCAATGTACTGTTCATTATTTTTAAATTCCTTTCTTATTTCGGCCATCAAGCTATCATAATCTCTAATTTCTCTTGCCTCCTTCCCCTCTTCTTGTCTTGAAGGCCTCCTTTCCGCTGGTGTTGCCACCCCTTTCTTAGAACCGTTCGGCATTTGTGTATTTGAGTTTAAATCTTCCTAATATACTGTAGGGGTAAGGTATAGAGGTAACCAGGCTAACGTCCCTCGGATAATTACAACGGGGGTCCAAAATTAACTAAATTGGTACAGTGCAAAAGTTAACTCTTATTTAAGGTCAAGTAATAATAATACAATACAATAATAGTACTATTTTGACTGGACCTAAGTCAAAACAGGTGTTTGAGTCCTCAAAGTTTTATGGTTAAATATAGTAAGCACCTGAACCACCAAAACGCCTCCAGATTCAGGGGATTCTCATGAGTAGGGTTCTGCAAAGACATATTCTTCAACTTTGCATCCCGGGGTGTATGTCTCTTTAAATCCCAGAGAGAGACAAGAGAGTCACAACCGTCTCTGAAGATCAAGAGCGTAATAATAGTACAATTTTGACTGGATCTAAGTCAAGACAGGTGTTTGAATCCTCAAAGCCTTATGGTTAAATATAGTAAGCACCTGAACCACCAAAACGCCTCCAAATTCAGATGATTCTCATGGGTAGGGTCCTGCAAAGACGTATTCTTTAACTTTGCATCCCGGGGTGTATGTCTCTTTAAATCCCAAGGAGAGACAAGAGAGTCACAGCCGTCTCTGAAGATCAAGAGCGTATCCGATTAAATTAACGAAGGTGGGCCCCTTTTAGCTTGCACAGTATGGCAATCTTTTCACAGTCTCACAATCTTTAAACAAGGTTTAAACACTTTAAACACAGTCTCACAGTTCCTGTCTTTAAGCACAAAGTGCAGCTAAGGCACCTATCTCCCTTACTCCGTTTGAGTCCCAATTCTCCCCAGTCCTGCAGTTTAGAAACAGAAAACCTCCACGAAAATCCGTGCTGGCTGTAGCAGTCTCCTTCCCAATGAAACAGAAAAGTCTTTTCCCCTCTCTCCAAACCGTTTAATAATTCCGCTGTAACTGTTACCTTGCCTCCGACACTTTATACTTTGTGTCTGAGGTCTTTCCACCACACCACACTCACTTGGCGGTTTGTTTTCTTCTTTTTGTTTCCTCCTCTCTCCCAGCGTCTTGCTATACTCTTTTATCACCTTATCGCCAGAGATGGATTCCTCCTCCTTTTTCACCAACTTATTCCTTCTCCGCTGGGTTCTTATCAAAACATTCCATTAATCTTACCCTAATTGATGTTCTCCAATATTTTCTTTAACCTCCACTGCTTTTTCCACAGTGTTTTTATAACTCCTTCCCAGCTTCTCCGCTGTTGTTGGAGGTCCGCCGCTTTCCCTCGGAGCTTGAGGCATCACAGCATGGAGTCTGTTGCCTCCCCTTTACGCTGCAGCTCCAGCCTTGTTAAAACACCGGCAACACAGGCGAGCACAGGCAGCGTCGCAGGGTGCTTGTCCCCCAGGATTCCCTCCTGTGGTTTCGGGGTTCACGTAGCCTTCATGGCCCCTCTAAATCTCCATGCTGTTCGAGACTCCCCCGGAGGAGTTATCTCGCGCTCCTTTTCTGTGGCCGCGGCGTCCCGGAAGTCCACAGTGTGTATTATTTTTAGCTTTCTCAGTACTTTGTCAAGGTCATCAACTCAGCAGTGGAAGCCTATTTTTCCAACCTAATCCCTCCACCTCTGCCACTTTGCTCACAAATATCTGTTTCTGACAATTATATGTACGAATCTTTGCATCTATTCATGTCAAAATAGTTATAAGATCCAACATAATAATACTGAATAGATTTCAATTGCTAAGAACTTTCCTTTCCACAACCATAAGCGAAAAATTTAAGACAGTGGTGTTGAGGCTCCCTGAGAATCCATATAATAAATCAATGTTATTAAATTTATTTTAGACAATGTTCACAGTGAGTATTCTGGTCCTCTTCTTTTTCTCTTGATTTTTAGCCAGCAAATGCCTTTTTAGTAAAATAAATACATAATTGTAAATCTGTTAATTTGGACATCTTCAGTGTAGATCCAAAAGTACTTTCCCAGAAGTAAAATAGTTTCCAGAGAGTTAATCTTATCTTTCTTCCAGAAAACAATTATAATATTTTTTTGCAGCACCCCAGACACCCCAATGCTCCTCTTGGGTTTTTGGGGGGAGGCGCATCGCCCTTGGGCTCTTCCCCTCACTCTATGGAGCCGAATCTGATGGAGCCATCAGATTCTCAGTCCGATTGCCATTTTGTGAGGACCTGGAAACCCGCTGAATGAAAAATTTAGCCCTTGAGGGAACTCCTAACAGAATTGAATGTTGTGTTTTCTCAAAGCATCTGCTACGAATATCACTTAAATCTCCTGAGATCAAGGATTTTCTTGATGAAGTTGAAGATTCAAGGGCAGCCCCACCCACATGAGTGCATTACAGTAATACAGCCTTCAGATTATTAACACATGGGCTACAGTGATCAGGTTACTGCTGCTGTCCAGGAATGGTCTCAGTTGGTGAAGGAGACCAAATTGATTTATTGGCCCTCATCCAGTCCACCATTGTATTGAGACACTGGATAGCTCCATTTGCCAGAGCATAGTGCTGATAATGCCAAGTCTGCAAGTTCGAGCCCCATAAGGAACAGTTGCACATTCCTGCATTGCAGGGGTTGGACTAGATGATCCTCAGGGTCCCTTTCAACTCTATGATTCTATGATTCTACCACCTGGGACAAAAAATTAGTCTCCTGCAGCCTATGAACCCACTGATTGCCCTTATTTAGCTTGTAAGATAGTGACCATGGAGATCAGAAGGGACAATGGGGCATCGGACATACAAAGTAAGGAAACAAATATTGGTATGCATTGCAAATACAGTGGTACCTCGGCTTACATACACTTCAGGTTACAGACTCCGCTAACCCAGAAATAGTACCTCGGGTTAAGAACTTTGCTTTAGGATGAGAACAGAAATCGTGCTCCGGTGGCGCGGCAGCAGCAGGAGACCCCATTAGCTAAAGTGGTGATTCAGGTTAAGAACAGTTTCAGGTTAAGAACAGACCTCCAGAACTAATTCTGTTCTTAACCCAAGGTACCACTTTACTTAACCCGAGGTACCACTGTAAATGCATTAAACAAAGGCTATGATTGGACGCTTCCATTCTTTATTTTTGTAGCCATCTACGTCTGTGCTTGCAGAATAAGGAGTTTTCAAGGTGACTTTGAGGGCTGATGCCAGAGATGCCAAAATCTAGATGGCAGAGTGCGGATTGTGCATTAAAACAGTGGGGTGGGTGATCTCTTGTTTTTGTGTAGAGATTATGCGATCCAGTTTCATTCATCTTAAAGGTGTCTTCTTAGAGCCAAACATCATTAGCCACCTTCTTACAAATATACCGTATGTGCTTCCCACAGTGTGATGTTATCCAGCAATTGCTTCCACATTCAAAGGTCAATGCACCACAGTTTCCTGGTCTTGGCTCCCCGGCATTCCAGTACCTAAAGAGAAAAGAAACAGCAGCACTGATCAATCAAGATTGGATGTCCACCTCCTCACCCGCTCCCTGTGGCTTCTACCATTAAAAAGATGTCCAGCTTTTTCTCTCTTAACATCCATCCATAATTGTGGTGGATTTTTCTCCCCATATTTTAGAACTCTAACCTCAGATCTGCTCTGTACCGTTGTGGGTGTTGGAGGGAGAATTTTGGAAGAGAGATCCATACTCTCTTGTAGGAGAGATAACACAGTAGTGATTGTTGTGAGCATATAAAAACTTTTCACATCCATCACCCACCCGATGCATGAGGATAGCAATGACACTTTACAGAAACAAAAATAGCTATGTCCTCAAATGAAATACAAAATATAATCTATAACCACAAATGTATAACCACATATGGATCTTATCAAAATCTTACATGACGGTTCTAACTTTAATCAATTATCCATAGTTGATAAAGGTATCACCCTGGCCCCACACTTATTGTCACTTCTGCTAAGGCTTTGCATTCTCCAGTGTCCATTGTATATTGAATCAAGTCCCACTACACAGCACGAAGATTCTGTGGTAAGTGTAAATCTGTAACTCCCTCGTTTTTAGCTCTCTGTGAATCTATTAAATTGATGTTAATAATAATGGTGTAATAGGTGTTTTTTTACTCCCATGAGATGTTTGGGTTGGATCTGCCCTTTGATCAAGTCTAAGATCACATACAACAGTGGTTCCCAATTGGTTCTCCATGGACCACCCACCCAGGGGCTCCATGGTGTCATCCACATAACAAAAACTGCCACAGAGATATCAAAATGTTCAAAGGTAGGGCGGCCCATGGTTTGGCTTTTGAAAAACAAGGAGTCTGCAGTACTTAGCTACCATTGCCCCCCAAAGTAAGACATCCCCCCAAAATAAGAACTACTTCCAGTTTTGCCTCTTGCTGTTATATAAGGCCTCCCCCAAACATAAGGCCTCCCCAGAATATAAGGCCCCCAAAGCTACCGTAAGGCATTTGACTCCTCTGGACCGTAGTGGCGGGTGCAGCTGCGCAGCTCACTGATTGGCCGCAGTGCAGCCGGAGCTGTTCAGGCAGTGTGAGGTCTCTTTAAATCAGAGAGCCCACGCCGCCACCAGGACAAGCTGCCGCCTGCTGCTCGCTCTGCCCTGGCGGAGTCTGGCTGACTCACAATTAGACAATAAATGTGTACCATATTCTTCTTCATGGAAAAATAAGACACCCCCTGAAAATAAGACCTAGAGCATCTTTGGGATCAAAAATTAATATAAGACACTGTCTTATTTTCGGGAAAACAGGGTAACTGGGAACCACTGGCATACAGGGTTTAAGTTCCCAGCTAGTATTATACAACCCCACTGCCCATTTGTAAAGTTTACTCAATACCTATGCCCAAAAGGATAAGTGGTTGGTATTGGGTGCAACAATGGAGATGAATGGAATTGGATTTTGATCCAGGAGACCTTGCACAAATAGAAAGTGACCCTCTGTTAATCTATTCTTGGTAATAAATGCCAGACCAGCTCGCTGTTCTACTACCAAGCTGTGGATGAGTGAGATCTTACTCTGATCTTGTACATCCATCAACACGGTTGAAAAGTGTTGTTAGATACTTAAAGGGAACCATGAACTGTCTTAAACTGACAGCTGACAGGAGGTTGGACTAGATGACCCTTGGGGTGTCATTCAACTCTAAATTTCTATGTGTCTGTGATTCTATCCAAGAGAGTGACATGAACTACCCTCTCTCGTACACATGCCTCATCTGCTATTATTTTAGGTTAGAGATTGCTGCTTATTCAGATTGTTTAGCAGATAACTGTAGAAATATTTTCCTAAAGACAGTGTTGCTCAGCTTTAGGTTCCTGCAACTCCTTTTGAAGCTGAGCTAATCAGAACAAACCATTTAAAAGGATGCCTTCACCCTCTTCTGAATCACTGCATTCACTAGGTTAGAGAAGCAGGAAGAGGAGCCTTTCTTTCTCTGCAACCTAGTGAGAAGCAGCAGCCGCTCATCTGGGCAATGATGTGGAGGAGTACATATGTAGGTCTTTGGTGGTATAGAAAAGTGCATGCAAAAGTACATTTGGAGAGCGAAAGAATTAATTATGTAAACTGAATCCACAACTTTTTGGACGTCATACCATTAACAAATGTTTCTTCAAAAACTTACGTGATTGAAGCTACTATCCCTGACATCCATGTCCATGTCACTCCATTGTCTTTAAAGAGTCCAATCCAAAACCACCGTTTACGGTCTTTTACTTGCTTATTCACAAATTGCTAGAGTGAGGTGGGGTGGAGAGAAGGAACAAACAGAACATCTTTCTAGACATTGTATTTTCTCTTGGAGACTATAGTCCTTTACAGACATTCAACAGGAATAAAACAAACACATTTCAAAAGGAGTAGATGTCATCATTGAAGGCCCAATTCACATATTTTGGGGGAGCAGTGATCAAAAATATACAATGTATTCCAAGTATGGTTGCAGTATCAATGCATTACAATTTTGGCAGTTTTATTTTTGATCCATTTCCTAATGATCCCTTCAATGGAATTTGTGATCTGATATGGATGACATCTAGCAGGACAGTGACCTATGTGGCAAATACTCCCATTTCTGCATCCATGTTTGTTGGTTGGTTTCAAAGACACTGGAATCAGTCTGGTTGTGGTATGCTTGATGGCATGATGATGGGGTCTCATACATGTCTATGCCCTGTAGCACCCCAGTAGCCCCTCTGCCAGGGCTAAGGCACTGGGAGGGGTTTATACCTTGTAAGCTCCTCTAGAGTCATCTCCATGATACTCTCCTGCCAGAGGGTGGTGAGGGAAGCCTTCTTTCTGAGCACTCAGTACATCTCAAATAGCAGAGTAAGACTCTACAGGCAACCAAGGGGATAGATGCCCCTCAAGTATCTACTCCTCCTCCTTCAAGGCCTCCTTTCTGACTGCCAACTTCAGTTTATTAGAGTTCAGCAGCTCCAAGAAACCTTAGTTAGTCCCAGATGGTAGCAGCTGCTCCCTGTCCCACCCAACCCATGGCTTGACTGATGGAGTTGCTGTCTTGGTTGCATACCAAGAACTTCTTAACTGGATAGTGATAGTAGGATCCCTTTGGCTCAAGAAGATCCCCTTCCTTTCCTATACTCAGCTTTGATGCTCACCTGTTCTTCCCATGTTTCGAAAGAAATGAGCTTGGCGCCTTCCCTCTCACACTCTTTTTGGGAATCCACCCATGAGTGTTGCTCATGAGAAAAGAAATAGAATGTCCTTTGATATATAACCCAACCATCATTCAAGTTTCCAATAAGGTGGTCTTTGAGTCAAGCCAGATA